CGTCATTACTCAGAATGAAAATGAACCACGATTCCATCTTCCGGGGGCGGCCAAGCAGAAATGTTAGCAAAATAAAAATGGATGTCAGAGCGGGGTGTCTCGGCTGAGGTCCCCCGAGGCGGGGCAGCAGGACACCCAGGAAGAGAGAGAAAGGTCAGACTCTCTCTCTTCTTGCGTCTTCGCACGGAGTGGTGTGAGCAAGTTCTTGTGGTCCTGGCAGTCCGTAAAGGGGGCACCAGGACACACCTTACGCTCAGGTAGTGCAGGCAAGGGTCCAACGTGAGGGACGAAAGACACCAAATTGGGCAGCGCTTAAAACGCAGACTCCAAGGAACATTTTCTTTTTCAGATCCACCTGGAGACACAGCCCAGACTTTCACCCGCAGCCTCTGCCTTTCTCTGTTTTACCCCCAGAGCATCCCAAAGACAAAAAGTCTGGCTCCTCTGGTGGGATGCAGTGAGTCGGCGCCCTGAGCTCGAATGGTGCTTTGTTTGGCTTTTCTTTCGCCCCCTCTGCCTTGTCTTCTGGTGTATACTAAACCTGGTATTATCCAAGGGCTTTAGTGTGTCCTGAGTTTTAAACTTGGTGTAATAGGTGGACAATTTCAATGCATCGGATCCCTCTGTGCTGGAATCTTCAGCATCTGGCCCACGGACACACCCTGAAGGTGTCGTAGTGACAGTCCAGCCCCTTTACACATGTTCCCGTGCCACAGTCGGCTCGACCCAATGACACTGCATCCTGGAGGGGCAGCAAGTGACGAGCAGAGGAGACTTCTGGACTAATCGATTTCAACTTTCTCAAGCCACTAAGCTTGTATATTTTTGAATCATTATTTGAAAATCCACCCCACCCAACAACCATAAATGTGTTATTAATATGAAACCTGAGGCCCTGGCTGGCGTAGCTCAGTGGATTGAGCGCGGGCTGTGAACCAAAGTGTCGCAGGTTCGATTCCCAGCCAGGGCACATGCCTGGGTTGCAGGCCATGGCCCCCAGCAACCGCACATTGATGATTCTCTCTCTCTCTATCTTCCTCCCTTCCCTCTCTAAAAATAAATAAATAAAACCTTTATTTAAAAAAAATATGAAACCTGAAAGTTCCCATCTTAACTACCAAGTATAATAAACAAGAAAGGACCCACCAAGGCCAATCCTGATAAGATTTCAGATGACTGGTCATACAGGGAGGATCTAAGGGAAGTTCACAAACAAAGGATCGGGGCTAAGACTAGCAATGGACTTGGCCATGGCGCCACTGGGGGCTAGAAGACAGGGGAACTGTGCCATCAAAACTTCAAGGGATGTCATTTCCATCCTAGAGTTCAATGCCTGGAAAAAAGAACACACACGTGTGTAAAGTCTCAACTACTGAAGAATGTGCTAGGGAAGAAGACAAGAAAGAAGAGAATGTGGATTCCAGGAAACAATATCCGGCACGGGAGGAAGAGCGTGGAAGCTTCCAGATTGGCAGCTGTATAAGGGGCCCGAGGAGCAACCAGTCTGGTTTGGACCAGGAGCACGGAATGGATAGATTATCTCAAATGTGTACCAAGAAACTGCAAAGAGTGCAAGAAAACTTAGCAATAGATAAAAAGAAAACTAAACAAATATTAAAACGAGGCAATTACAAAAGCTGAGTCCTCATCTACTATAGTAGAAGTTAGACAGGTGTCTAAAGCAGATTAACTGAGCAATAGCACTTATACACATTGTTAAAAATATGGGCATAGATTTAAAAAAACTAGGAGTTGAGAGTAATTGCTTCTGCGAAGAAAGTGAAAGTTGGAGTACAGAAATTCTGTTTTTCACATAAGCCTTTTAGCGCTATTTTAACTGATGAACATGATACTTTGATTTAAAAAGTGAGTTTTTAAAATGCAAAACCAAAAAACCATGTTTTTGTTCCTTGACTGTATTATCCAAACTACTTTAGTGGGTCCTTCATTGAAATTATTGAGAAGTGAAATAAACTAATAGATTAATCTGGATTAATTTTCTCTTTATTAGGGATTCATCATTTCTGTCAATGGATCCTATAGATTCTGGAAATTAAAGTTGCTATGTTCAAAGTCTATCTATCCCAATCTCAGTACCTGGGAGAAACGACATTTTATCTCAGGAAGGTCAAGAGCACACACACACATACAGCATTTCTGTCCATGTTTCACTGATTCGATTTGAAGGCTTTAGAACAAAAGACCCACTGGAATGCTTTATAAGTATATTAGATTGTTCAACTCCTGGGCCCTTGAGAACCCAGTTTCACTGCTGATGGGGGGAAAGGCCAAAATGCACTAATGAGATAAACTGTGGAGGGAAAGAATCTGTCGAACTGCATCAGGGAAGAAGATAGCTAACAGAACATCTCTCCAAAGATAAGCATGATTTGAAAACTCCCTGTGCAAGTTTGTCACTGAGCAATCCAGCTACTCAGAGCCCTTTCCCGGGCCGATGAAGACAGAAGAGTGTGTAGGCACCGTGTTATTCCCCATGTGCCAAAGTACCCGGACTTGCCCCTTCTTCTTTCCCCCTCTGAAAGAGGAGTTGGTAGAAGAACCCCAGGAAGCCGTTCCCCCTTGTAGATAACAACTAGAAGACAGTCAATGGCCTTGACAGTGTGCATGACAGAGAGGAGCAAAATCAACCACGTGAAGCCTTTCTCCTCGATTCCACTGGCTAAGGTAGCCGTGACCCCAAGCAGAAGACACAGCAGGGGGGTCCGATTCTGCAATCACTGAGCTCCATGCCTTTCCTCTCTTTGATTTGGCTCCTGGCAAAAGGCCTTTTTATTTTACAGACGCAGACTTTTCATCCATGAGAGGCTGCTAGCCCTCGCTCTCACTCCAAATAAACACTGGATTTTTAAACCCAGCTGCCATGAAGAATGACGTCACTTCCAGGCTGGCCCGTCAAATGGGGAGGGAACTGCAGCAAAGCCTCAGGCACCTGGGTTCCTCCGTTCTTAACTCTGGACTACGGACACGGAATTTTGCTTATGATATAATCTTAAGTGAAAAAAGCAGAGCGTGTGGATACATATATAATATATATGGATGGGAGAGCATGTGTTTCAGAGAAATACATCAAAATATTATCTGTGCTTATCAGTACTACAGACCGATATAAACTTCCTTCTTTGCGTTATCTGTCAACTTCCTTCTTTGTAATGTTCTGTGTTTCCCAAGTTCTTTTGACAAGGAGGCAAGAATATATATCATTTTATCATTAAAAACAAAATAAGAGAAACCTTGAATAAGACTTTTTTTACTTGACTTTCAAGCACAAGAAGGTGCATCACCAGCCTGCCGCCTGTGGTCCTCATTCGCCCACACCTGGGAGATCACACTGAGTTTCGACCTCAGAGACAGCATGGGGTGGCGGCTCAGAGCACAGGCCAGAGGGTGGGCCTGGGTGTTATTTTCCATGCCTGGAGATATACTGAGAGTCACACCCTGAAGTTCCCATGTGCTTTTTCTGGGCTGGATCACGTGGCCTTTGGTACCCTAATCAGGCTTCCCAGCTGCGGTTTCACCCTTCAGCAGATTTTTCCAGCCTCGTTCCTTCCCCGTCTTCACTACGTGCCTCCTGACTATTCGCCTGAAGAGCCAAGAAGAGGGAGAAATACTGTAAGCTGATTAAAATGCACTTTGATTTATGATCATCCCTTTTCAAGAGGTCTCAGGATGCAGCCTTGCTTTCTGCCTAAGCCGTAGAGCACCTGCAGGCGATGTTGTGAGACAAGCATTCAGATGTTTTTTTCCGACCGGACACGTTGTCTTCCTTTAGCCGTATGTTGTCTCTGATCAAGAAAGACCAGCATTGGGGAAAAAGTAGAAATATTGCACCAGTCTTCTTAAAGACAGGGAAACAAAGGCAACGGCTGTAAGAAGAGGAAGACTCCACTTTCTCTTTCTACTTGAGAGCTGAGTAACCAAGGCCTGGCTGTGTCATCTGGTTGGCCGGCCGTTCAGACAGTGGAGCTGTCACTCTCCTTTGTTGCCATTGAGTGGCGATTTAACACCGTGTCACAGACCACCCCTTGTTATCATTGTCATGTGTCCAGCTCCAGGACTCCTCGAGAACGGTCCGTTCTCCGTTACCTTTGCCAACAGGGTGTCTCTGCTCAGGCACTGCGAACTCAGCCAGCCCACATTGGCAGAAACATGTAAAGTCTATCTGTTTAACCTTGAGCTACTTTTCTGTTTTCACATTTGAAATGTGTGTGGCTGTTTGTCCAGAAGTTTGCCTCCCTTTAAATAAGAGAACAAAGCTACAGAGTTGCAATCCGACTCAGGAATTGCTCAGAATCGGTCTTTCTTATTCTACCACTGTTCCAAACTGCTCCGTGATTTCAGGTTTGGCCAAAGTCCTTTCTCACCCAGAGAGAAACAGAACCTCCCTTTCCCCTGCCTTATCACCTCCAAGCAGAAGTTTTCCTGGGCAGATGAGTACAAGAGGGCTAAAGATTCTTTGTTAATTAATCAATTAAACACTTATTGAATGCTAATTACTGCATGATGCCTACTGTGCTAGGTGCTGGTAGTACTGGGACAATGACACCGTTTCTACCCTTGAGGACACAGTGGTCCCTTTTATCTATGGGGGATACTTCCCAAGACCCTTGTGGATGCTGAAACCGTGGATGGTACCACATGCTATATATACCATGTTTTTCCTTTACATATATCCCCTCAGGAGAAAGTTTAATTTATTCGTTAGACACAGTGCGAGATTAACAATAACTAAATAAAATAGAACACTTGTAACCACATGCTGTAATAAGAGTCGTGTGAGTGTGACCTCTTTCTCAAAATATCTCCCTGGACTGTCCTCCCCCTTCTTGTGAGGGCGTGAGGTGCCCCAGCGCCTGTGTGATGAGGTGAAGGGATGTGCTGAGAATGGGTTGCAATGTAAAACTTATGGATTGTTTATTTCTGGATTTTCCATTTAATATTTTGGGGCTGCAGTTGACCACTGGTAACTGAAACCGCGGAAAGTGAAATGATAGGTAAAGGAAGGGGTGCTGCTGTTTCAGCGGCGCTGCTGCTTCGGCGACAAAGACACCCGCAGCTGTGCAGCATGCCTGAAGCGCCACAGTGCCAATGGAGGGGAAGGGTGTTAAATGTCCAGAAGAGGGGCCTGGTCTCCTGGAGGGCTCGGAAAGCAGTCCTAGAGGAAGCAGGCACTGGTCTTGAAGGAGGAGGAGGAGTTCTCCAGGTCGCTGGGAGGAATGGTATCCTAAGACAAGGGGAGGGCTTGGGGTTCCCAGTCCTCTGGGGGGGCTGGAGAGGAAGGTGAGGTTTGGACCATGAGGGGGCGGTGGAGGGGCAGATCTGGAAGGGCTTTATCGGCTGCGCACTGAGTTAGTCAGTTAGGTTCTGTCTTGAGATCAAACGGGACCGACAGAAGGGTTGTAAGCAGGCGAGTTAGATGATTAAATTTTCACTTTCAGAAGATCGCTGCGGATGCAGAGCAGAGAACAGCTGAGACGAGTGGGTAGAACCCTGGAGCCAGACACAGCAGTTTGGGGAGGATGGCGGCGGACCAGGCCTGAACTGCAGCAGCGACCACAGGGCACAGCCAGGCGAAGGAGGCGGCTGGGAGGCGGAATGCGTAGGGCTTTGGGGTGGACCAGCGGTCGGAGGTGGAGGTCCAGGAAAGGCCAGGATGACCCGGGTTTTTGGCTTCAGAGAACCCGTGACTGTTAGTCCCGCTGACAGAAAGAAGTAATCCAAAAGAAAGATAAATTCCATGTCTAAAGGCTTGCAATGTGGCCTGATGGCTCTGACCCGGCTGGAAGCTGCCCCGGGCACAGCTAAGCTGCGGTGGTCCTGAGTCATCCATCCATCCGGCTGTGCCTCCAGCCAGCGCGCTCTGCCCCAGGCGCTGCGCTGGGCAGTGGGAGGGGAGCCGAGTGCCCCCTTACCAGCCTTGAGACTTCTCACGCTCGGGAGCTTCTGAGCTTCCATGTCGTCATCTCAGATATGGGCACCAAACCCTAGGTGATGAGGACAATCGTTATGATGACACCGGAGGAAGCCCTCGGTAAACTGTCATCACTATAGTGACCACGGTAAATAGTCACTTCAGCAAAGAAGCGGAAAGCAATTCGCCTTGTGGCTAATGGAGATCAGTTACCGCAGATGCATGAAAAAGCCAGGTGGACCATAACTAACCTTAGAAATGTGGCAGACCTGGACAGAAGTGAGGAGGGGACTCAGACGGTCCAGCACCCTCTTCTTCCGCACCGCACTGCAAAAGGAGGTGACCATTTTGTGGGTGAAGGGAAATACTCTGAAATAGCATGAGGCCGTTTTTGTGAAGTTGAGAACAGTTACCAGTAACATTTCTCACTTTAAATAATAATTTTCTTTCAGTTGGTGTTTCCAGTAAGCGCAGCTTCATTTAAAATGGTAAAGTTTCCTAAATTTCTATGGCCCTTATCAGTAAAACTATGTGCTTTCAATTTTAGGAATTTCATAGAATTCACCTTTTAGCATTCTATAATGACTCTGAGGCATAGCAGAAATTATTACACCTGTTTTGTAAACAAAAGAAATAAGGTTTTGCCCTGGCTGGTGTGGCTCAGTGGGCTGAGTGCTGGCCTGCGAACCAGAAGGTCACCAGTTCAATTCCCAGTCAGGGCACATGCCTGGGTTGCAGCCAGGTCGCCATTTGCGGGTGAGTGAGAGGCAACCTGACGATGTATCTCTCCCACATTGATGTTTCCCTCCCTCTCTCCCTTGCTTCTCCTCGCTCTAAAAATAAATAAATAAATAAAGTCTTTAAAAAAAGAATTCAGGCTTTCAGGGCCCAACAAGCTACCGAAATAGTAAACATCACACAGCTAGCTGGCGACAGCTCAAATCCACATCTTTTGTCTCCAAGATCAAGGGGGTTTTTTTTGGTATTATTTTATGTTATGTGCTTAGAAGGATCAAAGACTTTGACACTTTGTGAAACACCGTTCAGCACGCCCCTTGTCGGTGTCTCAAAGAACAGGTCTGGGGAGGCATTTCAGAGAATCCCTCGCTCCAGTTCTAACTCCGGTGTCCCCAGAGACAAGACACCGATGGCAGAGCGACTTCACGGTGACAGGAAACTTTGGGCACCCGAGCTTTCAGCCCCGACGTCCCCCCTTGCCTCACTCGTCATTTCCCAAGCCTCTCCAACCTGTAGCCCTTTCTTCCACCAATCATCTGCTCTATCCCTTAAGATAACAGCCTTTCCACTCAACCAGCTCCTCCTTGGGCCACTCAGCGGAAGACCTGATGGGAAAGGAACTCGGTGGGCTCACGGGAAAGTCTCCTCTGCTAATTTATCTTTTCGTCCTCTTCGTATCCGTATACTAACCCTTACATGTTCGATAAGCAGGAGCATTAGGGATCCAGAGAAGGAGAGTGTCTGTTAATGTTTCAATAGCGGGGGGAGGGGGGCAGATTGGCCATGTTTTAAATAGTGGTCACCTGTGCAAAATGGTTTATGCATTTCAGGCTGGGCACAGTGTTTTAGATTTGTGCGGTCGTAAAGGGGGAAAGGCAGGAGGAGGAGCACAGAAGAAACAGGTGGGCCCCATTGGTTTCCGCCGGCCGCGCACACACCCTTCTTCACCTAAATCAAACGCAAACCCGTGTTCTTGACAACACAGGATCGAAAGACATCAGGAGTGAGTCAATTATCATTGCTATAAATATAAGCCTACACATTGTCAGGCCATAAACACGAGTAATTAAGGAAACAGCGAAGGGCCGCTTGGGAGACATACTTTGAGAGCAGCTGCTCCAGAACCTGGCCCTGCAGAGTCCCTGGCTCAGGGGACCAGCCGCTCAAACCTTGCAGGGCTCAGTGAACCCTCCGCGAAAATCCTCCCGGCTCCTCCTCCTCCGCTGGCAGGAGAGGACAGGACAGGGGAGATAGGGAGGGAATCCTCACCAAACCACCACTGCGCTTAGAGGAGTACATCCAGCCTGAGACCCAGACTTCCTGCACCCTCCAAGGGGCCTGAACACGGAGTGTGACGGGGATTCTCTGGCCGTACCAAGGACTTCGGGCTGCTCAGACTTGTTTGGGTTTTCACAGGCAGCCCCCTTCCTCGCCCCTCGGGCCGCGCCTGGCGCAGCCCACCTCCCCAAGGCCACGCCTCCACTCGGGCAATTCCCGCTCATCTTTCAGATCCCTTAGACCTTAGCTCCGCCAGCAGCCTTCCCCGATCTCCCCGGAGTCTGGATCTGGAGCCCCGTCTGTGACCGCCCGCTCTTGGATGCCGGTGGTAGTTGCCTGTGAGTCGGTTTCCCTTTCTAGACTGCGAACTCTGCCGGGGCGAGAGGCGATCTTGTCCTCTCTTTAGTCTCACGACACCGCCTGGAGCACAGGAAGGGTTCCAAATACTCGGGAATAAATTGGAGGAGTGGAGTGTCCCCAGAGTGGGGCGCTGGGCCGCGTGTCTCCCGCACCGCAGCCCCTTCTAGGCCTCACTCCCTCCGCAGCTCAGACTTGGGACTCTCCCGCAGAGGCGCGCCCGCGGCTGGGACCCGCCTCCTTGATCCCGAGCGACCCCGCCCGCACGGCCGCCCTGCGCGCGTCGCTGGCACGAGCTCCGGGGCGGCGGCTCCTGGGCTGGAGCCGGCGGAGCAGGTGGGGGCGACAGCCCCGCCTCCGCGTCCCGGCAGCACCAGAGCTGGCGGCCGGGGAGCGAGCGGGGCGCACCAGGCACTGCACGGAGCGCAGCCCGGAGCGCAGCGCAGCCGCAGCAGCGTCGCCGGGAGCTCGGGCGCTGCGGGACGGAGCCCGGAGCCCGCAGGCTGCAGCGAGGACGTCAGCCGCAGCTCGAGTTCCGTCCGGCCCCAGGCGCGGCCAGCGGCAGGTAGCGGGTCGGTGACTGAGGGTGGGGGGAAGGGCTCTCGCGGCTGCCCGGCCCGTCCCGGGGCGGAGCGACCCTCGGCGGGGACAGGGATGCCCCGCGCGTGCCCGCGTCCGGTGGGCCTTCCCCCGGAGCCGTCGAAGAGGTGTCGCGCTGCACCGGTGCCCGACACCCTGCGCCCGCCGCGCTCGGCCTCCCGGGCCCGGCGGTAACGGGATCGCAGAAGGGAGAGGTCGCCTCGGGGCTGTCGGGTGACTTCCCGCGACCCGACCGTCCAGTGAGCGGCCCCTAGCGCCAAGGCCGCCCGGCCTGACCCTTTTCCGAGCTCTCCCCTCCTCCCTTCACCGTGTCACCCCCAGAACAAAAGGCTGGGGTCTCGCTGAGGCGGGGGCTGTCTCGGGAACGCTTGGGTGGAGTAAAGAACTAGGAAATCGCAGAACTGCAGGTGGCTGTGGGGACACAGAAACAGCCCCCCAAGTGGAGCCCGGTCTGGAGATGGGAAGTGACTTGCCCAAGGTCACACAGCTCGTGGTGACCGGACTGAGGCCGGGGCGCAGGTCTCGGGACTCCCCTCCCGGGGCTCCAGAAATTTAGATGTGGCCACGAAGGGGCTTTAAGGTCCTTTGGAGCAGTCCGGAGGAGGTGGCAGAGGCCCTCCCCTCTCCCACCCCCTCAGTGCACCCCGCAGGTGGCAGGGCAGCAGGTTTGGGGGAGAGGGCACTGCGGGTCTTGGAGTGTGGGGGGAGCCCAGCCCGGCCGCCGTGGGCGGGCAGGCACTGGCTCCAGGAACAGCGTCTTCTGAACGTGGCGTGCCAGCCGCGTGGAGGTGCCTGCGGCGGGAGCGGGGGCGACACGGGGACCGAGTGTGCGCTGCTCCCTGGAGAGAAGTTCTGCCAGGACCGGGGAGTGCTGTTCCCACCCCCACCCGTCCGCCCCCGCCCCGGGACGCACAGCCAGCCTCCTGACACCCGGGGTGTTCTGTGACGGGCTGCGTTTGGAAGGAAAGTTGCTCCGTAGCAGGAAGTTGGGCTGTCACTTCGCCTCTCTGAACCTCGGGTCTTGGCTGCAAAACAAGGGACCTGTTCGACAGGACCTGTGTGGTTTAGAAAGTTCGGGCCCTTCCCCTCCTTTCCAGAATCTTCCCTCTCTTCCGAGCAAGGATTGGAAGTGCATTCCTCGTGGTCAGTAGTAACAGTTATCACTGGGACTCTAGCCTTCCCTGAATATTTTTTCTTTAGCTTTCCACAAAGCTAACTACCGCGATGAATGTTGGAAGAGGGGTTGCCTTTGGGCCTGGTAGTGACCTTGACAGGGTACCCCATGCGGGGAGGTTGGGGGCGGGGGGGGGGGGTGCTGGGGAAACGCCCCACCTCCACCTAAGCAGTGGTCACACCAGTGTGCACATGTCAACATTTGTGAAGTTCTTCCCCAGAGATGTTCGCACGTGGTTTAGCTGAGTCTTCCCCTCAACAGGAAAGTGGATACAAACTGAATGCCCAGATGAGGGTGGCTTTCCAGCCAGTGCCTTTCAGAGACGCATTTAAAAGCCACAGAAACCAAATCGGGAGAAATGAAAAGGGCAAGGGAGCAAAAGAAGTTTGGGGAATTACAGGAAATGGAGTAGACGCTGCAAGGGTGGGGGTGCAGGGTGGGGAGTTGGGGGTGTGGGCTTGACCGGATGCCTTAGCGTGCATCACCTCGTACGATACAACACAACTGTGGCCATGCCTTCTGACAGCTGAGAAAACAAAGGGTTGCCTGCCTTGCTCAGAGGAGGCAGAGTTCAGAACCTGGCTGCACAGACCTCAGACCCTACACACGCGACCATAACCAGGCTGTTTGAGCCGCCCCCAGTGAGGGTAGAGGCATCGGGCAGGCAGCAGCGACGTGAGGGCTGGCTCCCTGCCACGCCCCCTTTATGCTCCTTTCCGGGAGTCTCTTGTGTTCATATCGTTGTCAGTGTGCGGCGGTGTTACACAGCCTGAGGTTAGCCGGCAGCAGAAGGGATGGAGGCAGCGTGTGTCTAAGAACATACAGTTTTAGGAACGGGAGGAAGCCAGCTGGTCCAGCCTGGCAACGCTCTTTTCGGGAGATGTATTGTTCCGAAAGCATATAGTGCAGGTTGTGATTTTACAGTCACTTAAACACACACAGAGAATACATCAAGGAGCCTGGAAAAGGTCTGAGGAACCAAAATGCCATTAACTCTAGAAGAGACCATGAGGCATTTTCACCAGGAATGGTCCACTTCCCTACATTCTAGGATTTATAACTATAAGTTCATTAATGGTTAAGTTAAAAAAAATACTACAAAAGTAACTGGGCAAACATTGCTATAAATACCCCTGGAATGTGGTGCAGAAGTATTTGGGACTTTAGGGTACAGTCATGTAATGCCTAGAGGGGAGTCTTGAGAGGTAGGTCCTCCTGGGTGGTCTGCTAGCCCTTCTGTCCTTCTGCCCACGAGTCGGACTCTCGAGGAGCAGGACCGTGTGGGTTCTACCAGCCGGTCTCTGACTGCAGCGCTGAACGTGTGTCTTCCCCTTGGAATGATCGTGTTTTGGCTTGAGGAATCCGGATGAAGTGGGGCAGCCGCTGAGGTCTCTCTGGACCAAGGCTCTCCGCCGAGTGCCGCCGTCCTGCGTGAAGACGCATCATCACCAAGTTGTCCTTAGGAGAGTCGTGCCGTGTCCCGCTGCTGTTCCTGCCATCTGGCTGCTGCAATATTTAGAAAAGAGCCGTAATGTTTGACTGACTGTGGAGAGCGTGACAAAACAAACGTGGAGAGGGAACTCTTCCATGTGAGCTGGGGTGGATGAGGCAGTGATTAATTCCTTTTTATGCAGTACAAAACCAAAAAGACCTAGGGCTCCCAGTGGATGCAGAGCAGGCACAGCACCTATGGTTTCTCCGTGGCTCCAGCCAGTAACACACTTGACACTCCCCCTTTGCGATAGGCCCGTTCCTTATGCCCGTTCAAGCGGGAACCTGACCCGTGCCGCTGTGCAGCCGGGGAACCATGCCGTGCCCCGCACTGGTGGCGTGCCAAAGAGACTCGGTGGAGCGGAACAAGTGCGGCACAAGAGCCTGGTGAGCCTCTCGGGGGCCAGGCACTGCGGAGGATGATTTTCAAGTGTGTCTTGAAGGAATATTCATCCTGTGTGGGCGATGTATTCCCGAAAGACACTGATTCCGAGATAGCGCCATCCAGAAACCAGTGCCAGGCTGCCAGGGGACTGTAAGTTGGCTCCTGGGAGGAGGGAGGAAGAGGCAGGATCCAGCCTCTCTCCTTGAGCTTCTGAGGCCACGTGTGTGTGCAAGTGCATGCGTGTGTCAGAGCAAAGCGCCCAGGCTGCCGTGCACTCAGCTACAGGCTCACAGGTGCTGAACACTCAGAGTGCTGGTCTGGGCTACGATCTTGATAATATGTATAAAAGCACTGCAACAGCCTTATCAGGGAACTGATTCTTCTTATTCACATTATCAGTTGGGTCACGGAGGCCAAGAGCTAATCTCCTTTAGGAATGATCATGTCAGGCCCTGCTCTGGTCCACCGGCAGCCCACTCTGAACCCCAAGGTGCCCTTCACCTGTCTGACTTGCCCGTATTGCATCTGAGCTCCTGGGGGTGGGGTGGGGACTGGGTCCACTTCACCTCTCTTCCTAGCACCCGGGCCATGCCTGGCCGTAATAGGCATTGAATGAATGAGTGAGTGAGTGAATGAATATTTTTATGATCCAAGATCAAAAGCCAGTTATTTTTGGATTACCTGTCCTTTTGGTTTTTACTGCCTCATTCTGTCTGTTCATATGGATTCTCCAGCATCACTGTATGGACAAGGCGTATGATAGATACCTCCTTTAAAGATGGAACAGGCTCAGCTCAGGCCTCTACTTCTTTTAGAAATCAAATATTTATTGTTTCTTCTTTTGTATGACCTATGTCATTCTGACTACCTGGGTTTGAATCTTGCTTCCATTACTTGTCGTGTGGTTTTGGACACATTACCTAACTTCCCTGTGACTCGGTTTACTCATCTGTGAAATGGACGTCATCATAATGGTACTTATCTCCTATCAGGGCAAAAAAGGGAGGTTCAGTGCTACAACAGTGCCTCGCTCATAGCAAGGTTCGATAAACTAGCGATTACTTATTGTTGTTATTATCTGAGACTTTAAAAAATTGTTTGCTTTAAATGTTCCCTGTTCCATAAAGCATTTGAGGAACTTACACAAACAGGTAGTAACCAACATAAAATTGTTAGATAATGCAACTGGAGCCAAGAGAACACACGAACTAGAAAATGAGATAAAACCAGAGCTGTCTTAGAGAATGAGAATGTATCTTAAGGCACAGGTATTCTCCAGAGGTGTGTTTACTAGCAGGTCTAACATAGTTTCTGGAGGTGGGATTAAAAACCTGTCAGCTTCCCAGCAGCCAAAACAAAGAGAAAAATACAAACACTTGTTACTCGATCCACAGTGACTAGGAGATAACAACAGATCAGTTACCCAGCTTTTCCTGGTCCTGAAGACTGGGATAATTTTCTCCTGATGGGTCTTCAAAGCAGTCACTGTCGCCATAGATATAAGTCTTCCACCTGGCCCCTGCCCTGAGGACAAGGGAACCTTTGTGGAAGAAGCAACAGCGAAGTGTTCGCTACAACGTTACTGCCCGTAGTTCCAGAGATGTAATCCTAGAGCCCAGCGGGACCCCAGTCAGAGCTCTTCTGGGAGGGGCCAGAAGTCTGCGGTGCGAGGACCTGCTACTTCCTGTTTACTGTGCACCTGCGAGACTAGAAAGACTCTTTTTCCAAAGGTTATCGTTCTTGTGAGAATCAGGTGAACCATTCCATTTCAAGAACATTTGCTCTGGCTGAAGCCGTTGAAATGAGCCAGATCCGTTTACCGGATCCAGACAAAGTCCGAAGGGTGTCATCACGCACTCACACTCATTACTAGACACGTGTGTGCTGGTGAATTTTCTTATTACTGGTGGTCCCG